CCTCCAATCTGAAGGTTTTGGGTTTGACTCCAGCTTATAGGATGTGTTGATCAGCGGCTCGATATGCTGCTCTGAGAGGACAGCACTGTGTAAATTTAGGCCATGGATATATGGACAGGCTCTCACATCTTTGGCCAGAACCCAGTAGAACCAGAGCTTAATGTTGGCAGGAGGAGGATCGAACCATCAGCCTGAAAATTTTTCACTCAGTGTCTCTTCGTAGGAATTTTCCAGCAGCTTCTCTCCAGTGATGTAAAGAAACTTCATACGTGTGTTTGTGGTGCCGTATGTTGTTGTGGGAACATGAAGGCGTCCATCTGGTCGCCGTCTTTGTTTTAGTGTCCACAGCAGCGAGACGCCCTGCGTCATTAGGGGAACCCTGGTCACTGATGAAGTGATGCATGAAGAAATGGGAAACAGGCCAGAGGTTATAGAATGGTGGTAAAAAAAATGGTGGAACGTTGCTCTCTGCTGGGGAAACGATAGAAATACAACTAAGGTGAATATCAAATTTCATCTGGATCTTTGGAGTAGAATAGAATCTTTTGGAATAGAATAGAATAGAGTTCAACTTTATTGTTGTTACACTGTCACAAATACAAAGTAAAAAAAGTTTGCATCTATAGATAAGTATATATATATATATATTAGATATATTTATTTACATGTGAACAAAGACTATGTATGTATTGACTAAGTGTAAGTGGTGTTGGGTCCGTGGATGTGTGTGTGAGAGGATAGTCCATATGTATGTTATTATTGGGTGTGTTTGGGGCTTATAGTCCGTAATCAGGAGGCGTTCAGGAGCGTGACAGCTGTGGGGAAGAAGCTGTTCCCTGCTCTGGAGGTTCTAGTCCGTAGGCTTCTGTATCACCTCCTAGAGGGCAGGAGTGAGAAGAGTGTGTGTGCAGGGTGAGTGCAGTCTTTGGTGATTTTCCTGGCCCTTTGCAGACACTGCTTCCTGTCGATGTCCTAGATGGAAGGGAGCGGTGCCCCGGCGATGCGTAACCACTTCAGGTCCGAGGCAGAGTTCCAATTTCTTCCTTAGGGTCCTCATGAAGAAAAGACACTGGTGCGTCTTCTTGAGTTTGGAACAGCTGATCGTCCAGGTCAGGTCCTCTGAGATGTGGACTCCTAAGAACTTACAGTAAAGCTGTCTACACACTCCACCGCCATCCCCTTGATGTGCGTGGGTGGAAGTGGGTCAGCGTTCCTTGTGAAGTCCATGGTGAGCTCCTTGGTCTTTTCTGTGTTCAGCTGCAGGTTGTTTGTGTCGCACCACTCAGCCAGACGATTCCACTCCTCCCCATAGACAGCCTCATCGTTGTCTCTGATGAGGCTGATCACCGTGGTGTCGTCTGCAAACTTGATGATGGCATTGGAGCCATTGACAGGTCTGCAGTCGTGGGTGAGGAGGGAGTAGAGGAAAGGACTTATCCTGCATCCTTGTGTCACTCGGGTGTTAATGGTGATGGTGGATGAGAAGTGGTTGCCTATTCAGACATGTTGGGGCTGGCTGGTCAGGAAGTCAAGCAACCAATTGCACAATAGTGGACTGAATCTGAGGTTTGCAAGTTTGGTAGTGAGTTTTGATGGGATGACAGGGTTAAATGCTGAACTAAAGTCCATGAAGAGCATTCTTTCGTAAGTGTTCTTAATGTCCAGGTGTGAAAGAACAGAGTGCAGTGCTATGGAGACTGCATCCTCTGCGCTCCTCTTCTGCCTGTATGCAAATTGGTGGGGATCCACCGAGAGGGGAGACAGGATCTGAGCTGAGCTAGAACCCAGCGCTTAGAGCACTTGGTGATGATGGGGGTGAGGGCTACAGGACAGTAGTCATTTAGTCTGGATCGGTTGGAGGTCTTGGGGATTGGGACGATTGAAATGGATTTGAAGCTGGTTGGTACCACAGTCCGGGCCAAGGACAAGTTGAAGATGTCTGTCAGCTCTCCTGCTGGCTCCCCAGGGCACACTGTGAGGACATGTCCAGGGATGCCTTCAGTACCCGCAGCCTTGTGGGCTTTAATCCTACTCAGGAACGCTCCTACATCAGTGGAAAGGAGAGTAAGTGACTGATGGTCTGGGTTAATGGCTACCTTGATTGCAGCTGTAGGGTTACCTCTCTCAAAATGAACATAGAAGTTGTTAAGCTAGTTGAGGAAGGAGACATCGGAGGAGGCGGGGGAAGTATTGTTGGTCCTGTAGTCCATGAGAGTATGAAGCCCTTGCCATATACGTAGTGGTGTTTGGCCTTCTTGATGCCCCTCTTCAGGCCTCGGAATCCCCTGACCTGAAGGTGATGTTGGGGTACTTCAGCAGGAGGCGAACATCCCAGTTCATCAAGGGCTTCTGGTTGGCGTACACTGTGAGGTGTTTGTGGGTGTCGACACCATCTATGATGGTGGAGATGTGGTCCAGTACCGATGTGGCATACTGATCCAAGTCTGTATTCTTGAATCATTCCTAGAGCACAGAATCTGAGTCCTCTGGCCACACCTTTACTGTCCTAACAGTAGGTTTCACATGTTGGATGAGAGGCGAGTATCAAATAGTGATGAACAAGGAGAGATGGTCTGATTGTCCGATGTGGCTGAGAGGTGTTGAATGGTAAGGTCCAGCCAGGTTGGAGTAGATATGGTCCAGGGTCTTGTCTCCTCTGGTGTGGGAGGAAACATGTTGGTTGAAACTGGGGAGAACTGTCTTTAACTTGGAGTGGTTGTTACCCGTACCGCAACAATAAAAGCAGCCCCAGGGTGTTTGGATTGGTGTTGCTAATGGCCACATAATGTTTTTTCATTGCTAGCTTGGCATCTGGAGGGATATAAACAGCAGTGAGGTTGATAGAAGTGAATTCCCTTAGAAGGCAATAAGGTATAAATTCGACCATTAAAGACTTCACACTCTGTGAGCAGTGTCTCTCTGTAGTAGTAGCTTGGTCAGTATGAACAAACCTCCACCTCTGGTTTTGCCAGAGTAATCTACTGTGCTTTCGACTCGATGTGTGGCGTCCCATTAGCTGAATAGAATTGTCTGAGCATCTGTTGTTTAGCCCTGTTTAAAAAGAATAACATTTGTGTCCATAATCTGTCTGCAACTCATCCATTTTATTGGCCAGAAAACTAATATAGGCAAGAAAATACTGGGTAAAGGCAGCCATTGTGGTGTTAGCTGTAGCCTAGCTCGCAGCCTTCCTTACCCCGCCTTCGTTTACATTCCTGTCACCGCTTGCATGAACTTCTACCCGGCCGTGAGAAGTGGGCAGCATGTGTTCTGGAGATCTCCGGTATGAGTCGAAGATTAGCGATAAAAGTGTCAGAATTGTAGCTCCGATGTTTCTAGAAGCTCATGTCTGCTGTAGTACAGCAATGCAGTGCAGATCTGGAAAAAAGTCCAGTGAGGAGTAGGTAGAAAACATCTAAATAGCAGATTCTGGAGAGACGCTAAGCCTCACGTTGGTCACACACCGCCATCTTGGGCTTTTTGTCAATAAAAAGAACTTCAGAAAACTTTTCAAACATTGTGTGTGTTATTACTCTGGCAGGAAATTAAAATACTATAATGGTCAAAATAATAATTATTGCTGATTCATTAATGTCAGAAATCAGATTCTTTATTAGGTAGTAATAAAAAAAAGTTCTGTTATACAAAGATAATTTAATGGCTTTAAACCAACAAGATTCTAAAATTAACCTAAAAGTTCATAACTGGAAACGAAATGTCCGTTTTAAAAGGAAATTAAGTTTAATCTGAGCTCCAAGTTACCCTTAACGAGATTATTATCAGTTTATTAAAAGGTAAATCACCAAATTAAACATTTAATTTTTACAAATAACCAAAAGAGTGAAGTTTGTCTTTCAGTCAAGGCCTTTTATATGAAGCTGTTCTTAACCCTGCAGGTTTTATTTGATGCACCTTTAGCGCCCCCTGGAGGCAGCAGGTCAAACAGTCACCAGCTTCCTGTGAGCTGAGCTGCAGAAACTATTAGAAAAAAAGTCTCCACCAGGGCGGCGATGTGCTGCAGTGGTTTGACCTGGAATTGGTTTTTACTTCAAGTTTGAATCTCACTGTTCAAAGACAAATATGGTGGGATATGAAACTGACTATAAGAGCAGGTCTAACTGTTATAGATCTATCCTGGGGGAAGTTCTAGTTTTTGATCCAAAGCAGATTATTCAACATTCCTCTCCTTATCCTGAATATAAATGACAAAATGAAAAAAAATAGGAAGAATTGATAAAAGAAAGTGCACCCTCTGATTGTTTATTTGGTGTACCAATCCGATGTTTATCAGATTTCAGATCCACAGAGCAAATCAAGAAATAAAAAGAAAAGATGAAACGTTAGAAAAGGACCCAACAAAGCAATGAATGAATTAATGAATGAATGAACGAAGCGCCAGCTTGGTAGGGATATTTGCACATTAAGTAAATGTAATTGTTTTTGTTGATATCATATGTTTGATAGTTTTAATCAGGGACTTTAAAATCATGACAAACTCTTAAAGATGCTCATCCAGGAATCCAGAATATATTCAGAGAGGGACTCTGATGGAGTTCTGGAGTGGCCTAGTCAAAGCATGAACCACAGATCCTACAGTTTAGCCTTTGGAAAAAATGCTGTGAAACCACTATATTGCAGCAGGAATAAAATAAAGACTCATCTGGTTTCCACAAAAGGAAGGGAAACAAAAAAGGAAAGAAAAGGGGAGAAAGGAAAGGAAATGGAAGGAAAGGAGAGGAAAAAGGAAAGGAAAGGGAAGGAAAGGAGAGGAAAAAGGAAAGGAAAGAGAAGGAAAGGAGAGGAAAAAGGAAAGAAAAGGGGAGAAAGGAAAGGAAATGAAAGGAAAGGAGGTCTTCCTGCTCCCTCTGTAGGTCCCTTCCTAGGGCTCCTCTGCAGGTTTTCCCCCTAAACTTCTCATCTTTCAGACAGTCAGAGTCTCACGTTGCCCTCCTTCTCCTCCTCCTCTTCCTCCTCCTCTTCCTCCTCCTCTTCCTCCTCCTCCTCAGACGGGATGTGATGTAAAAACAGAAACTTTTTTCTGTCTCCGGAGCTGAGCGGATCTTTCTCGGTCTGAGTTTTTGGTTCTGAAGGAGCCGAAAATCAGGATTATTTTAGGAAACTGCGGATTTAACGGACCTTTAAACCGCGCTGCAGGAGAGAAGCCGAACCGAACCAGAGGGGGAAGCTGTAAAGCTGCTGTTGGACCCGGACAGGAACCAGGGGAAACAGGTAAGAACTTCCTGAGATCAGATTTCTGAAAGTTTTCCCTGACAGCTGACCAGGGATCCGCTTCATTGTTCCTCTCCCAGCCTGAGGAGGAGCTCTGAGAAACTGGCAAATGATCAGAGATCAGGAGGAAAACAAGCTGATCAAACAGCTGCTGCAAAGTTCTGCAGGATCCAGAATTAAAAAACATTAAATCTGATCAAATCTGAGCTTTTCCTCCACTTTAATAAACTGGATCCATTCATTTCATCCCTTCCTTCATCTAAACGGTGTTTTTAATTCAGATTTCCTGCGCTGATCCGGTTTCACTCTCTTTAGGTTTTAGGAATCTGGAAACAAATCGCTGCAAATGTTTCAGTTTTTCCATCCTGAGCTTCTTCTTTATTATAAGGAGCATCAAAGGTGACGTCACATCACAGCTGCAGGGATAGAAAAAAAACAGGAATTATTAGTGGTGCTGGACTCAGCTGCAGGTTCTGGTTCCTCTCTGAGCTGCAGATGATAATAAGGACCACATGAGGTGAAGATCTTAGATGCTGCAAAGCAACATAGAAACAGACAGAATAGAGCTACAGACATGAAGCTGCCTGAAGGATGGGGCAGGTCTAGATCCGCAGGTCTAGAGGTGCCAGTGGTGAGCCCTGACCCGGTTTAATGAGGGGTGGTTCTGAATCCGGTCATGTTGGGTCCACTATGGTCTGGGTTCTGAACCGGTTTAAGTGAGAACTTCCACGTCCAGAAGTCTGCAGGAATTCTGCAGATCCAGTCGCTCTGTTGGGGAGGGTTTGGTGTCAGTTGGATGTTCTGTATCAATCTCTGCTGTTCAGAACCGACTGTGTGTTACGGGTCGGGTTAACCTGCTGGTTCTGTGATCCTCTGATGGTTTCACATATCAGGATCCAGGGGCGGATTTAGGAAATGTGGGGCCCTAGGCATAGACAGGCAGGGGGCCCTCTGAATTAAGAAGACACATCAAACAGCCCCATTCTCCAGGTAGAGAAATGTTAATAGAATAGACATCCATTATCTGTTCTAGGTTGTGTCCCTCTCTTCTTGTCCCTTTTCTTCTTGTTTTCCTCTCTATGTTTTGTACTCAGCTGACTTTTCATGCTGTCTCTAAAGGAATGAAAGATTTTTTCCAAGCACTAAGCTCACTTAGCTGATTGCTCCTTCCTGTGTTTCCAAAAAGGCCAAAGTAAATAACCCAGTCCTTCTTTTCACTGTAGACAAGCCATGATCTGCTTATCTGTTCTCCATTTTTCATTTGGATGAAATAATAGCTGCATGAATCATGACAGCAGATAAGATAGAGGAGAGCAGGAGGCGGGGTTACCAATCTACTCGCTCTGGAGAGCAGAGTTCGCTGCTTTTAGATGTTGTCTCCAAAGTCTCCAGTAGCAGAAAAAAGTCTCTAGATTTGGCGCTAGGAGCTTTTTAGAAATCAAAGTGCTAGAGGGGTCTGAAAAGTGGCTAAATATAGCGACTAAAGCGCTAAGTTGGCAACACTGCTCTTTGCATGGTTTGTTTTCAAATGGTTTGCTGCTGTCTGTTTGGACCTTTCTGAACATGTGCAGCAAATGGACTGATCCAATATGGTGGACACTGAAGGGGGGGCTGAGACACACTTAATATTATCAGCGTTCTGATGGCATTTTAGCCAAAGGATTTTTATCAAAAACATCATTAATGTGCACAAATAAGGAATAGTTGTATTAACCATACATGGAAGCAGAGTTTTATGGGCCAGTTCCTGGGGGCCCTAGACAACTGCCTAGTATTGCCTAATGGTAAATCCCCCCTGACATGATCATAAGCAGGTCCTCCTGCATTAAACAGATCTAGAACGGCCTCCAATTCAGATCTGATTTAAAGACATGAAAAGAACAGAAGCTGTAGATGTAACTCAAAGGTTTTCTTTCATGAAATGATGAAATCATAGGAAATAGAAATTCATAGTTTGGTCTGTTTGACCCGTTGCTGCTTATGGAGCATTAACAAAGCAGGATTTTAATGAGACTGAGCCAGAAATAGAGCTATACTACAGGTGTGGAAAAAAAATCAGCAATTTAGTTCCTAGTATCCATTTTTTTTCCTAAGCAAAACATTTTGATCTAAAATTGAGGGAAAATGGGCTTCTTCTGCACCGCCAGTCTGGCAGACGGCGCTGTGGAACCCTTTAGCTGTGCGGCGCCGCGCCATATCTGACAGTGGAAAACGTGAACCGACTCGAACCCCAAACATCATGGATACCAAAATAACCGTACGATCGATATCATCTGATGAACATATACAGCGGTTGCTTTTTTATCTATACATTTAATCTTGATTGCAGGAAAATATTGCAATAAACGGTGATATTGCAATGTAGTGATAATATCGTATCGCAACATTCATGCCAATACTCACCCCTAAAAGATAAATCATGTCAAACAATATTATCGTATTTCTTTTTCTTGCATTTTAAATGTCGGCTGATACCTGCTTGCTGCTCGCTTCATCACTTTTCAGCAGCCGTGCCTCAAGGTCAGGTGAGGCGCATTCATCGCTGCTGCCGCCATTTGTTTATTATTGGTCTGCTTTGTTAATAAATATTTATTTGTTTGTTTAAATGAAGACATGTTAACAACTTTTATCATTGTTTCATGTTCTAATGTAAATGGAGGAAGAGAAAGAAATAGCAGCTGTAAGAATTGGTCCCAAACAATGCAATGTTGGATCTCCAGGCTGAATCTGAACCCGTTTGTTCCTGTCTGCTGGTTCCTCCTCTGCAGGATCTCAGTGTTGGTGCTCTGACCTCCGACTCTTCAGCCCGGAGGATTCTGGATCATGTTTGGGGTTATTTTCAGGCCTAGAGCTCCGTCAGCTCTCTAGACATGCCTCCCCGTCCTCATGTTAGTTTGTCCCTCAGTCGGCCTCTGCTGATCAGACGTCATTCAAACTGGTCAATCTGAGAAATCTAGAACCGGATCAGATAGAAAAACAGAACCACAGCTGCAGGCTTATCTAAATAGGGATTCATTCTCGGTTATAAATCCCAGTACCCGCTGATTTGGATCAGATCATCTGAGGTCCCGTCCAGCCTCAGGGCGGGCCTGAACAGATCGGGTGTCCACGGCTGCAGCTTTTCAAACAGAGAGGCGGTTCTGCCCCGAAACCCAGAAGAAGACTCACCTCTGTGTCCCTGGCTCCGCCTGGATCCCTGCAGGTACAGTCAAACAGCTTCGTGTTTGGTATGAAAACATGATTTATTGTCTCTGGATGAAGCGCAGAAAAGTTCTGAGGGGTTTCACAACAACCCAACGCTGCGGCGTTGGACCGCTGACTGAAGAAAGAAGGTTCCCACGGTGCCGCCCAGCTCAGAGCCTCGGATCAGGTCCCGGTTGGACGACATTCGATTGATCCTAAATCCAAATCCAGGAGTTTCCAGCTGCTGCTGGTAGGTTAACAATTCAGCGCCGATTCATTGGTTCTGCTTCTACTCTTAACCACCTCACAGTCATCAGGTATTGGGCTTTGTTCTGGTTCTACTGAGAGGAAATGTTCCCTTTCTTCAAACTGTCACCAGCAATCTGAGCTTTTATTTTGAAAGTCCTGGTGAGGAAGTAGGATCCTGGTGAGGAAGATGTTTCTATTGTTCCTCTCCATCCACTTTCATGCGGTCCATTGATCACTTGTCCTCAGGGGACTCCACCTACACTAGGACATCGTGCAAGGACGATCCAACACTGCATGTCCTCCATTTGTGATCAAAGCGGTTCTGATTCTCTTCCAGTCAAAGAGGCCTAAATCTCTGTTTTTTTCTCTCTAAAGTGATGACTGAGGCAGAAATTGGCACGTTTTCGTTGCTGTGGGAACCTCTTGTTAGAGGTTTGGTGTTCCTGAACGTTTATGGGGCCATGAAAGCTTCTATACGAGCTGAATTCTTCTGGTATTGTGTGTTCACAAAGACACAAGAATCCATCTTGCTTCGCTTTAACCATTTGAGACTGACCTAAAACAGGTCTGCCAATAACGTTGATGTTTTTTGGTTGAGGTGGGACATACAGCCGTGACAAAAGCAGTCGAGGCAATAATTAACATGGCGGCAGAGGAGGAGGCACATGTAGCTGCTGCTAACACATCGGTTTGTCTTTGATAGAATAGCAGCAGGAGGATAAAGTGGATGTTATTGGGGTTTCTCATGGCATCCGCTGCCACTTCATTTATTTCTGTGATTGGCTAAAGCCAAAGTTTGGTGGGCGGGCTCTAGGTGTTGCTTTGCCCAATCAGCTCAGAAGGTTCCGTCCCATCCTTCCTATGAACATGATCAATCTGGCTGCTGCGTTGGAGGCCTCTAACAAGGTCCATGGGCCCACAGCATCATAGAGTGAAGGAACCCCTGATGTTTCGGTTTGTGATGGTAGGACAGGAAACCCACTTTCTCAGGGATCAGGCCTTTAAGGCGGCGTGTGGATAGAGTCAACTGGTGACCCAAACATCTGTCTAACGTAAGGGACGTGTCCTCCTGTCCTCCCCACTTGGCCTCTTTTTCTTTTAAACTATCGTTTTTTTTGAGAAAAGAAGCTGATTGGTTGGTTTGACCATCTGCTGCTGTTGTCATGGTAACACCATCCACCTTTCCTTTGTTCAGACTCTGACACCTTCTACAAACAGTGATGGGAGTAACGGCGTTGAAAGTTACTAACACCGCTACCTTTTTTTAGTAACGAGTAATCAAAATTATTACTCTTACTGTAACTATAACTCAGTTACAATTGCCGACAGCCCGTTACTGCGCGTTACTCAGGTCGCACAATCAACCTTTTTTCATGATAGGACTCGTGCGCGCGTCATGAGAGTGAGGAGGACTCCAGCAGCAAATCAGCGCTTTCCCGATGGAAATATTGGTGTTACGTCGAGTTGCGTTTCCTCATCAGATACGTTTTCCCCTGTATCTCCGCACATCGCAGGCGGCACGATTCACCACACAAGCCACAGGAAACGCGCATGCTCGCTAAAGGCGC